GGCGGAGCCCGCCATTGGTGATTTCATCACTGCAATGGCTCTTAGAAGGCGGGCGAAGCCCGCCAATGGTGATTTCATCACTGCAATGGCTCTTAGCAGGCGGGCAGAGCCCGCCATTGGTGATTTCATCACTGCAATGGCTCTTAGCAGGTGGGCGGAGCCCGCCATTGGTGATTTTTTTCATTGCTGCAAGGGCACCTAGCAGGCGGGCAGAGCCCGCCAACTGCGCTTTACCCACTGCGGTTCAATATGGACAACCCATATTACCCTTGTGCATCATATGCTGTGCACGTCTATTTCCCAGATTTCAGCACAAGTGGCACACAGCTCTCTTTGCCCATGACGTCGCCCTCTTTCCTTCCCTCAGCAGCCCTTAAAGGCGTAAGCAGTTGGTCTGGGGAGCCCCAACATCACTTGCCAGGGCCGTATTGGCCCGGATCCCCAGACGGGCAGTAGGTGGCCCCCCTCAAAATTTCTTTAGAAATTTTCTAGTTGTTATCTTTGTTCTGTTTAAGTGATATAACTTGATTGAGCCTTTTCTAACATTCACCATTAATAGAAAACTAATAAAAGATTATAATTGCTCCTAACATCATATCAGGTCAATATCAGTATCGGTCCATGCTCAAAGATACACTATCGGAGAGCTTATACAAACTAGAATAGAATCGATTCATTGTGTATGATCCAGTTCTATTTCATCCCTACTGACAGCCAGAGGGTGGTGCTGAAAGCACAGAATCTTCTGTTTGCAAATGCACAGTTTTAATATTTATACCAACAGAATCACACTTGTGACACACTGGATGACCACTCAGAGGCTATATGCATCCAGGGCTGTGTATCTCCTTTCTTTTCCCGTTCTGTTTGTCTTGTATGACAGCAGTTTTCTTGCCCCCTCTCCCAGCGTAACTGACAGTGCAGCTGACGGCTTTCTGAATTTGCCCCATACAGTAGTTACTGTTTTTTGGACACTTCTCACTTGCCTGTAAGAATATAATTGGTGATGGCATTATTCGCTTCCTCTCTCCCATTTCAACCTATTTTGTATTGAAATCTGAATTTGGTTGAGCCCTGCAGTCCATTTTGGACATGGATGGCTCCTATTGCTGTACGGATTGTGAAGTTGCACTTCAGGCAAATGACGACCACAGCCTGTGCCCTTCCTGGCTTGGCCGTGATCATCTTGTGGAATCACTGTCTGAAAATCCCTGCATAAACTGCAGCTTCATCCCCCATGCAGTGATGGTTGCTCGGTTGGCCCAGCTGTGCCCTCATGAGGACTCAGACTTCCAGCCTTCTGGGCAGGTGAGCCTGCTCAAGAGTTCAAATCAATGTGGTGAGACCACCGTCTGTGTGCCCCCCTCTAAGGAGGAAGTGAGCCAAGTCTGAGCAGGGCCTGGCTACAAGGGTCATGAAATTGTCTACAGAGCTGAGTGAGATGAAGATAACAAAATCTCCAACAATAATCACAGAGAATGAGAGGCCTTTTTGTGTTATCTCCATTTGTTATTTAATCTGCAGGTTAAGAACACACACATCTGAGGGAGAGCAGAAGAGCTGCTCTTTTTATAATCAGTATATGTTTTACTTTATTGCTAATTTCTTCTGATTAATAGAAAAAAATATTTTTTTTTCCATCAAACTCTCTGATGTCATCTTTTACAAGCTAAAAACGCTTTGATTGTCATTTGGAGACCTGTCCAAACATTGTGGTTAAAAAAAAAAAATTATGCTAGCTCAAACATTGGCTGGAAACAGGAAGACAGTTTACGTTGGTTAGCTTGGAAACAAGTCACAACTCAAGATGCGAGATTTCGTGAAAAAGTAGCCAATCACAGGCTGGGTTGCCCTCCTCCTAAACAATGTATCTCCCACTGGATGTGCACGTCATCAACCATGCCTACGGTGCAGGACGCTCCTCGCTGCCGGTCAGTGGGAATGCCCACTCTACCAGAAACGTCTCTGTTGAGGTTTTGCTGGAGGCAATATGCGCCTCTTACACCATTTTTACCACATTATATTTCCATCGGAAAAAAACACTAAATAAAATATTGTTATAACTAATCATGGATCCCTTTAAAGGAGCACTATGTAACTTTTAGCCTCTAGGGCCGCTAGACCTTTCAGGTTTAGCTCCACTAAAAGCAAATGGCAACACTGTGCTGTCACAAAAATTAAACAGCCTTTCTGTGTGTTTAAAATCTGACAGCACACAACTTTGGACCAGCATATTGGGAAGTAATTAATTTTAGAGACAGGACCACATTCACCCCTTAAGATTAAATTCCACATCAGAGAACCAAAATGTCTGCTGAGGTGAATGTTTTATTTGTTTTTTGGCCAACAACAAGGTTTAACTTTGTTACCTTAGACATCTTTTAAGCGACATCACTCACATGAGCCATTTAATGACAAAGCCAACCCTCTCAAGTCAATCCAATACTCAATTTTATGACCAATTTTCCAAAATCAATATCAGACTAATTCAGCTTATAAATTCCCAATTAGTGTTCAGGTTTACTAACATTTAATGTTTGTGGGAAAATCCGTTTTAGATTTGGCTGTAAAACCTGTTACAAACGGTCTTATATTCCCATTGTTACCTGGGAGTTTAGGGCTACAGTGACATCCAGGGGCAGCTTTTGGTAATCGGCTGTACACGTGCCGCTTCCTGCTGATCTGCAGACCACCGAGCCGCCACGCTGAAACACAGGAACCTGCCCAAAGAGAACACCAGTGTCACTGCATTCAATCGGAAAAAAGATTTGGACTGTTAGTTTAGTTACTTATCAAGTAAAGAACTATTATTAATCAGTGGGTGCTACAAGATCAACTAACAGAGTCCAGGTTGACTGGGAGACTGAAACTCTTTCCTCCTTTGTACACCTTTGCAGAGCGGATATCGTACCAAATCTAAGAAAAAGAGAAATCTTTAGTTTCACAACAGAGGTATTTTATATTCATAAATAAAAATGCCTATAGATGTTATAAATATAAACACCTGCTGATTGATTTTACCTCAGCTGATCCAGGAAGAAATACTTTGATGGTCTTAGCACCTGGTTCCATCACAGGACAGGCTAGCAAAGCTCCCCCTTTAGGAGAAAAAAACAAAAAACAATTAACTTTAGAAAAAGAAAGGTACAACATTTACAGGCAAAATAGTGAAATTAAATCAAAAACAGTTTCCTAACCAATCATGTAATTATTGTCCTCGGTGAAGATGCCCTCCTCTTTCGGGAACTCCACCCAAAGAGGTCTATGGAAAAACATAGACATTTTTAAACTTCTTCTGCCATTGACACAAATATCAAACCAATTCCCAGGTAAGTTGTACTTGAACAACAGTAATGCTATGCAGAGCTCGCAGTGAGTGAACTGCAGGTGGCAGCAACACTAACCTGACTGGAGGCAGGCCAGAGGTGTGAGCATAGTGGAAGAGAGTGTACCAGTATGGCAACAAACAGTAGCTGGAAGCAGACGAGGAGGGTAAGTTTAGATTATGATTTTATCACAACTTTATGAAATGTCTTATTAAAATAATAATATGTATTATTTAAAATTCCTTTCAAATATTAGCCCATAAACCATGGTAATGATTGTAGACATTGGGAACCAATGTCTCCACTCTCCAGGTACCCCGGCTTCCTCCCACAGTCCAAAAACATGACTGTTAGGTTAATTGACATCTCTAGGGTGTACCCTGCCTCTCACCCATACACTGCCAGAGATATGCACCCCTGCAACCCTAATAAGAACTGAGCGGGAGAAGATGGATGGATGGATGGATGGATGGATGTATGGATGGATGGATGGATGGATGGAACCATTGTCCCTAGCTTATATTAACCATGTTCATTGGAGTAGGGGAGGCCATTTTGCTCTGCAGTAAGCTCTCAATCACCAATCTCTAACTGCTCCAAAGTCCCCTCCCCCAAGACAGTATCACAAAACACACCTACAGGGGGAAGTGCCCCTGCCCCAAGGTGCCTTGGGGACAATGCAACTGTCTCATGTCTGCTTCTTTCTCTTTGGGGCCTAATCTATTTGGTGACTCTAAATACAATTAATAAAATTTAAATACAATTTAAATTCTACAATGGATCTTTCTCTCATACCGCTGTTGGATGGCAGTGCGGATTGCTGCAGTGACTTCCTCCCCGAAAAGCCAGGGTTCACGTCGCTTTGTGTCATTTGCAGAGTGGCCTCGGAAGAATGGCTGCAGGGCGGCGACCTGGTACCAGCGCACCAACAGCTCTGGATCCGGGTCTTTCACAAACCCACCAACGTCGGCTACAAAAGACAGAGAACATCAGTGCTGAATGGGAGTTTATAATCAAGAAAAAGACAACATTTCTTGCTCAGTTTGCCAGAAAACAATAAAAAAGCAAGAAAGTGATTATTTACACTGATACTGTAGGTTTACCTCCACAAAATGCAATGCCGGCAAGGTTCAGGTTCAGAACCATTGGAACTGAAATCTTCAGATACTCCCAGGTGGCTATGTTGTCACCTGTCCACACTGCTCCTGCATCCCACATAAAAAAAAAAAGTAAAGTCCTGGATTTACCCAAGAAATGCAGAGGGAAACTTAAAAAGTATGAGTCCCTCACCAAGCCTCTGAGATCCTGCGAAGAAGGAGCGTGAAAGGACAAATGGCCTCTCTGAGCCTCCGGAGCGAGATATCAGGCCTTCAGCTGTGGCCATGTGCTGCAAGATGACCAATGGCGACATGCTTTAACTTATTTGGTAAATCCCGGTGGGTGGGAATTGTTACTTAAGAGATGCTGACCTGGTAAAAGCCGTACAGATTGTGCAAATCCCGGTGCTCCCAGCCCCCATGGTGCACCGCATCCTTTGGCATTGTCACTTCCGGCCCGTTGAAAACGGACGGCTCGTTCATGTCATTCCATATGAACAGCGAAGCAGTCGATCCCTTTATTAGGTGTAAACAGTTTAATTATTGGTATTCATTCCAGGGAGTGTTAGCTGTCTTTGACAGACCATGTTCCAATGCACTGGAAAACTCATCTTTTGGACAGCCTGATAATATGTCTTTAATAATCTCTGTCCAATCTCTATAGACCTTCAGAAATCTCTTCAAGGTTTAAAACTGAGACCAAAACTTAAGTGTTTTTGTTATGTTAAGTTCTGTTATCCATGCCTTTGCTGATTTGTCCTGATTCTGTATTTTAGATCACCCAGATGAAAGATTCCACCCAGATGAAAGATTCCACCTTTCATCTGAGGGGAGAATTGACAGACGGATTGGTGCAACCAATACAGTAAGGAGGATGTAAGTCCCTGTAACGTTAAGAAAAAAGGGTGTGCAACCCTCACAATCAAAAGAACCCTCCTTTCCTCAGTGTGGCTGAATCAAATTTACTTCTTTAATTTTATACAAAATTCTAGATTAAACAAATAATTTTTGATAAATATAAGCAAGAAAATTTGTCTTTAATTTTTAAGAGACCCATATTAATTTTTTGTTTTAGGCTTCAATTTGCAAAAAGAGCATAAGATGTTGTTCTGTGCAATGCTGATGTTTGTGGAAATAGATATAATTTCTTAATGTTTTAGTATTCCTGAGTGTCACCTTGTATTTATTGAAGCTGAAGCACCTGGAGTACCACGCTCGGGTTGCAGGATTGCTGAAATCGAGATAAGAGGACTCGCCTGTAAGAACGGTAAACATAATCTGCAGTTAGAAGGAAAAGATAATTTTTCTCAGATGTTTCCAATCTAACTCTAGGAAGACACATGTCACCTGGCCAGCATGTGCCCCGATAGATCTGTCCCTCTCTGTCCTTCACAAAATGTCCTCCATCTCTGGCCTCACAATAGAGGGACCAATCAGGATCAACCTTGATATGTGGATCACTTATGGCGACCATCTAATAGAAAAAAAACAAACTTTTAAAACAGGAGGAAAAATCAGATTTTTATTATTGAGTTCAGATACAGAAACTAACCCTCCGGTTCTTTTTCTCCAGATGGTTCAGCAAACCCACTGGTTTGGGAAAAAGAGCAGGGTCCCAGGTGAAGTAACGCTTCCCGTCCGTGTGCTCAATGTCCAGCCAGATGACATCATACGGGATCTTGTGGCGATCGAATCCAGCATCCACAGCCTTCACGTCAGCCTCGTCGATGTAGTTCCAGCGGCACTGGTGGTAACCGAGGGAAAACAGTGGCGGCATGGCTTGATACCCTAGAGGTGAAAATAATAAAAAGCGATCTGTTTATCGGGCCTTGTTGATTAATCCACAGCATCCAGCACATTCCCTACACACCTGTAAGCTGCGCATACTGTTTGAAAAGCTGTTGGGGTCTGGGCCCGAGCAGAACCATGCAGTCGATCACGCCGCTCTCTGAGAGCCAGTGAACATCAGTCTGAGGCCGCAGCCGCCTCCTCTTCACTGGGGGTGTTTGATCATCCTGTGTGATGCAGCAGAGTTTGACATTGGAACAAGTCTTCTGAAACATGTATTGCATTGTTCAACACTGGTCAATTCATTTTGCTGCCAAATGACCCCATTTTAATCAGGAAGCAATCCTGCAGTAAGATGCTGCCACCATAACGTTTAATGCTGGGGTGGAGAGCTGATAGTGATATGAAGCATTTTTAACCATCCAACTTAAAGCATGTTCATGCTGAAAGTGCACGTCTCTAATGGATACAGTTGTTTCCATCTTGCCTCTATGTAACGGCGCTTTCAGGAGTGACTAAATGGGTGATGTGAAGGACTCATATATTTGGCAATCAGAGCGAGGCGACACTGTGACAATACACACTGTGAAATGCAAAAAACCTATGATTGGCTGCTTTTCAGGAAATCCTGCCTCTTCAGATATCACTGTTTTCTTCCTAGTTGCGGCAAAAAATGCTATCAAAGCCTCTTCAAGCTAATTTCAAATCATTTAAGAGTTAAATTCTGACTTCGTATTAAAACATCCATCTCTGTCATCAACAGTCCAGGAAAGAAAAGGAATGCTTAACAGTAGCTGCAAACTGATTAGAAATGTCTATATCTATCTACAACTATAAACTGAAGTTCATTAAAGCCTCTGTTTCACCAATATAAACTGTAAAGCAAACATTAGCTTAGCACATATGTAGTTCAACATTAAACATTATTAATTTTAGAGCATATTGCTAGTGCAGTCAGAACATTTGTAACTCTGTTAAGCAAAATTATTTAATACAGAAGCATATTACATTCACCTTAAACAAAAAATATATTGTTTTGTTTTTCTGAATTAACAAGTAATTTTTGCAAAAAATTTATAAAAAACTGTATTTTCTATTAACGAGATATTTCTATACAAAATAAATAAAAATGTGTTTTTGATAACAAGATAATTTTTCATAAATTAGATAAAAACATTTCCATTTTCTGAATTAGGATATTTTTTTTCAAATAAATAAAAAAACATATTTTTCTGAATAAGAACATAATTTCTGTAAAAAATAAACACAAAACCCGCATTTCCTGAACTTATTAGATAAACCGTGGAGAGAAGAGGAAAGGACGAAACAACCGTGTCAAAAGTAGCGCCCAGCATGCAAGTCAACAAACTAATACTGATCCCATCTACATAACTAAGAGACAAGATAATTTCATTGATACTCAATCACAAAAGAAAGTAAAGATGAGTTAAACTCATCAAACCTAACATGTTGAAGCTTCTCTGGAGGAAAGGTGTCTCTTGCTTAGAAACATGCAGTGCTAAAAGTAACAGAACATTCTCTGAAACCACAGGAGCATTACCGGTATATCATTCATTCAGTAAAGCTTAAGATTTATAAGCAATATTTTGTTACTCAGAAAAAATGTTTTTAATCTATTTAAAATGATGTTGACAATTCAGAAAACCACATTGTTTTGTATAAATGGTCTTGTATATTCAGAAAAACACCAATTTATTTTTTTCTAGGTGAGTGCAACCTGCTTGCATTTTTTGATGATTATAATATTTTGAATTACTTTCTCTTGCTTTGTTAACCTGACCAGCTGCAACAAGCAAGGAAACATTACAGTCTAAAGAGGTGAGAATTACTGAAAAGTAGCCAATCACAGGCAATTCACTTTCCCGTGTTGGTATCAGCCTCAAAGTGACAAAAATTGACATGAGCAACAGAAACAGGTCCAAACATGACTAGGAAAAAATCTACAGGCACATAGAAACCATAAGAGCACAGAGAAGGAGCATGAACTCATGCTAGTAATATATGGGGGGGTGCCGTGGCGTACATAAAAACCAACCTGATTGTCACTGGTGGAGTACTTTATGTTTACAAAAGTTTCTGATGCATTCAGCCAGAACACACCGATGGTCCTGTCTGGTTTGTGAGCCACCATCAGAGGCACGGATCCATACAGGCCAAGCCGGCAGTACAAGTCGGCGGCAAACACGTCTAGGTTGTACAGCCGATAGGGTTCTCCATCACTGTGGAAAGGAAGAGATTTAAAAAACACAACCAAACACAATGTTAAAGTGATATAAATGATTATGCACCTCGTGTCTCTGAGATGCAGCCTCTCTGGGTGTTCTGGCAGGCCGTAGACATGCTGGAACCCATGAAGGCAGAGGTCTGCGCCGAGGCTGCTGGGACCTGAACAAAACAACTCATAACAATAAAGATGAAACCCAAAACAAGCAGCTGGTTACCATGGGAAAATCAACCTGAGAAGAAGTCTACTTTATTCTACTTTACCTGTATTTAATATTCCCTTACCATGTTGGGATAGAGATCAGAAATAGAATAGAAGATTAATTAGTGTAATATTTTGAAGTTGGTTCAAAATAACATTTAACAGATGTAAACTTTGATCCTATCTGAATATGACCTATGAGCTATCACCTTAATTTTTCAATCATAATTCAAATAGAACCATAAAGAAAAAATTAAATGGGACATCCTATTGCACTACTCTTTGAACTTCATTATGTGTTAAGATCCACACCCAGGGGGGATGATTGAAAGGAAAGAAAGGAAAAGAAAATCAATTAATCAGATTTGTTAGGAATAAATTGGAAGATTTTATATTTTAAGCCATATTACCTTAGCTGGTCGATTATATTAAATATTTAGAAAATACACCAAACTGTACAAAATTGAAAATAAAATAATATTAACCTTAGAGCAGGTACAAACCGTTTGCTTTGATGTCCACAAACTTCCTAAAAGTTTCCTTCCATAGTGAACTGGTCTCGTCTTCTTGGAGCTAAAGCAGAAAAACAACAGTGTTTTAGTGAACGACTGAAGCTTTCAATATGTGAAGGATAAAACTGCAGTCAGAGCTTCCTCCTTCTCTTACCTCACTACGTTATTATGATGTCCCATAAAAAATACAAAAAAAGACTGTTAAAATAATCACAGAGGCTACCACCTTTCCTAGAAGACGCATTTTGGATTTACCTGGGTTTATTCTGTAAGCTTTCAAACCACAGTTTGTCCTTTGAGTTGAAGGTAACCATCACTTCATCCTCACACAGAATCTCCAGTCGGAGAGGGAAGTGCCACGCTCGGATTTTGTAATGTCCGGAGGACCAGGAAAGAGTGATGGAGTCCTTAGTTTGGCTCTCCACTCTCAACCTGTCATATTAAGAGGAAAAGGGTTAAAGCAGCACAGAGTTTTATTGATTGCGAATTTACAGCCATTCCACAGCTAACCTGAACAAAAAGGATAATTTAAATAAAAAAGCATAAACTGTGGATAGAGAAACAATACAGATGCAGCTACTACCATTCGCTCTGAGGTTCTCCAGTGAGCACATCTTGAGCTCGGTAGCGTGCCTTCATGGGTCGGGCCTCATCTATTACAATCCTTACAATGTCATTTTTGCAAGGGGTCAAAGAGAGAAGCAGCCTGGTCTGTGAAAATATATAAAGTGTTTATTTGCATTTTTAAACATTTTTACACATCAAAGATGCTGAAAAGGTGCACATTTTAAGGGGGCACACATACAAACACTCGGGATGGTAGACTTTAACTTTCTTAATAAGTTTATATACTGGATTAATACATTCATAGATAATTTAAAATAAAGTGATTGAAAGTCTCTGCATTATTTAAGAGACTAATCTTAAATATATTCCTTTAACATGAGGCTTAGAGAGTACTTAGTACAATCTATTGACTTTATTCATTTTATGTAATCTATGATAGAAATGTCTTTTTTATTTTATTTTATATACGTAAATGTTTTGAGTTGATTTTTGTATTAATTACTGCTCTGTGTACGTTATCCTTTCAGCACATGGCATGTTTTGAAGTTTGTGTACCATTGCTCCAGGTAACAATTCATTTGCCAAATTAGTTTACGATTATTTCAATAATTAATTACAGGGACAGGTTTTTGACAATGATAGCCCAAATAGAATATCGATCACACAAAGTGTTGAATATTGAGCGAAAAAAAAAAAAAAAAGTAATTTAATTTGTCTTAAATTAAGGTGATATCTGAGTCAAAAGTTATGTAGCGTTATTTTAAGATATCTGACTCACACAAATTCAGATAAGGGCCAAAACCTAAATCTCTTGAGGTATTCTGTCACACAACAAACATTTTTCAAGACAAAATTTATCAGGAAGTACAAAGGAGAATTAGGACCACTGTAGATGAAAGAAAAAAAAAGGATGAGTAAATTTCAACCAATAAACTCAGAAATCTGGAGAATAATTTCATGTGTTTTCTTTTCCTTTGAGACCTTAAGCCTTTATATGCATTAAATACTGGTGGCTTGTGCAGAATGTGAGATTAGTTACCAGGGTATAGAGAAAATATTATGGATAAGGAGAATCAATGCTAGGAACAATAATAATAAACCTTTCTTGTTGACCACATATTTATTTGTGAAGCACCAGCACCCCATAGTGGCTAAACTCTGCAACCGATGCTAAAAAGTATTATCTCTGTCACGGCAAACCTCACTGTGAAGGAGCCAAACCCTCAAGATCTCCCTCAAGCACCTCCTAAACACCTTTCCAAGTTGACCAAAGCAATTTAAAACAGCATAATCCCAGAACCAATGTCCTCTGTTTTCATCATGATCAAATCATCCATAATGAATGTAAGAACTCATTAATTTTACTTGTGGACTGAAAAGGCATATCATCGGCTGATGAACTTCGATGTCACAGGCCCAGCAAAGACTTGTCCTGTGAGGATAAATTGCAAAGGCTTGGCCAAGGTTAAGGACAAAGTTTTGTTGTCCAAAAAGCTCTCAGAGACAGTCTACAATAAGCTCAAAGGATTCAAAGAGTCTAAGGACATTTCCGGATTCTCTTAATGGATGTTTTCAAGAAACGCCACCTAGAGAAACTAGGCCTTTTGTCACAGCCACATCTAGTCCGTGATTGTTTTCATCGCGAATACACTCAAAAGTTCAGCTTTTTCAACCCGTACAAATCTCGCTTTGGGCACCTTACAGGTGGAGCAAACCTCTCACCCCACTATATTCCCTGAAAATATGCCTTTCACGTTGCTAGAACAACATCCTTTACCTCACAGCAGTCCAGAGCTGCCCTCTTCGTAGGGATAACGTGAATCATTGGCTCCAGGCGCAAAATTTGCTTTCAGTGTGAATTACTTTAAAGGTGTCTAGACTTCAGAAGAACCAATTTACTGAGAAAACTAGTGTATGCATTATTAGACTTACAAAATGACAACACATCTGTCAGGGAAAAAGGAAGAAAACAGCTACAAGCAGATAGCCAACTTGCTTGGTGTACGCTACAACTAACAGTTGTAGAGAAGCAGGTTTTAAGAGGTCATAACTCATACCTTAACATTACCTTTGCCCCCTCTTGAACTAAATACTTTATACCAGTTAATTATAACATTATAACCACCATTTTTACAGCAAAAACAATGGCCCCATTTGACAGAGATTGCTGATAAGCTAACACATCACACCACAATACATCACACATCACACTTCAGAGGAGTGATGTGGGGCTTTTTATCAGATTTAACTGTCCCAGAACTTTAGCCCCAAGATAAGTTGTACTATCAGAAGACCATGAGTATTGTTGGAGCCTCAAAACATCAGACAATGTAACAAAATCAATTTTGAGTCAGTCACAGTAAATTAATTGTCTCCTGTGTCTCTTTTATTTATCATTCAGCCTGTAAAGGTGTGTGTGATGAACATTAATGAACTACTACCAAGAGGTGAATGGACGCTAGCTAGGGTCTTAAAGGCTGCGTCTCAATTCGCAGGCTGCGTACTTGGTAGGACGCATTTTGAGGCCGGTGACGTCACAACGCTGCGCGGAGGCCGTCCCATTTGGCAAAAATTCTGAGGACGCTTAAAATGCAGCCTTAAAATGCGTCCTCCTTTTCCCCGAATTCTGAGGATGCATCGCTACCGTCCTTAGTGGCCTCGCCTCCCACAAGATTTCCCGAGGTGCTTTGCGCGCTTCTTTTTTTTTTTTTTTCTAGTAGTTGAAGAAGAAGAAGAAGAAGAAAGTCGGATTTTCTTCAAGTGTTTTTTGAGTGTTTTTTGGCAATGATGGACTAGTGAGATGTGGCAGTGGTGCAAGGGTAAGGTGTGCAATCAATGTACGGAGGCCTTAGTCCTTAATGAGGCTGTCATGGATATGACTCCCAGCCAAGGGCGTAGGAATATGTTTACAATTGGGGGGGACACATGTCGGAAATCTGAGATTCCTAAATATTCAACAGAAACATATCTTAAGTACGCTACTTAAAAAAAAGGCTATTTAATCTTTTACTTTATTCCTTTATAAATGTGTTTGCAAAAATAATGCATTTAAAATGTACATAATGCATTTGTTCATAAGATGTGAGCATATCACCAAACAAAATGACTGGAGTCTTTTATTCAGCAAAGGGAGATGTCTTTCAGGGCTTCAGCCCTTGGCATATTTAGTGTCCGCATACGCACTAGAAAATCAAAACAATTCAGTAGGCCACACAAGTGCAAAGTTTGATATGTTTTATTTTGTCAAACTTGCAATAATGGTCAAAAATGAATTTATATAGGTTGACTGACAGAGGGAGCTGACGGTGTGTTGAAGAATTATGGACAGGGCGCTTTGAAGCATCTGGTTCAAAAACGCATTATCAACCTTTGGTAGAAATCCATCCATCCTTCCATTTTCTGTACACCCTGTCCCTTAGTGGGGTCGGGAGGTGCTGGTGTGGGGTCCACCCTAGACAGGTGGCCAGTCTGTCCAGACCTTTGGTAAAAATGGCGCCTTTAATTCCAATTTGCAGGACAGAACAGAGAAAACTACAGATTTGTCAATGTTGTGTTAATCTGTTTATAGTCTAAAAAGAGGAGCCAGCAGTTTGAGGAAATAAAGGTGCAGAAGTTAATTAGTTGGTTAATTACTGGTTGCACAACCAATGCGACCGTCCCTGCTAAGAATTAAAATGAATTCTCCCTGTGGTTAACTAACGATCAGGAGCGCGGCAGGTATAACATCTGTCCATTTTGGCGAATCAAAACCGTGCAAAAAATAAAAAATCCTCGTAAAATGCACGCCCAGACCGGGCTGATTTCAACACAAGTTGTGTTAGGTGACTGTTACTCACACTGACGTTTCTCTTTAAAAAAAAATCTGAGTAAGTCCTACTGATGTTTCAGCCTTTTAGTTGGTGGTGGCATTGTACTGAAATGAGATATAAAAAAAAATATATAAAAAAACATTTTGGCTAGCGTGGCAAACGTCTAGAGAAAGTTAGCAGTTAAATATTGGATGAGTGATCATCCCAAGACTACGGAAGAGGATTAGGGCCACTGGAAAAAAAAAAAAGTTGAGTGATTTTTACATTTTATTTCAGTTTAATACGGGAAAAAAGTCTTTTATTTTCAGAATTAAGATTTTTTTTCTCAGAATTCTGACTTTTATTTTCAGAATTAAGACTTTTTTTCTCAGAATTGTGGATCTTAATGTAGATAGGCACCATGAAGGCAGAGATGTGGAGCACTCAGCTTCACTGACAAAGATGTGAGTTGTTTGAGAGAGCCAGTGACACATTGGTGGAAAATGACAGAATTAGTTAACTTTTTACGTGCCCGAGGGGTCCCCTCATTAATGGAGGAGCAGAAGGTCATTAAAACAAGAGAGCTAGTCTCTAAAACAGACATGGCTATGGCTTGATGCTAACTTGTTTGTTGTTAAACATACTTTTGTTATATTACATTTGTGTTGTGTTTTCCAAATAGTGTAGAAAATGAATGGTGGGTTTATAATGTTTACATTTTATGAGCAGGACAGGAAGCAGAGAAGTGTAGCATTACCTCCAACTAGTTAAACTCATAATTATGAAGTTATTCAACAAATTCCTCAAGTAAAAAAGTGCAACTTTTTTATTTATTTATTTATTTATTTTTTACCAGATTTGTGGATTAATTTCAAAATTATGTATTCCTTCCAAATTTCCAAATCTGAAGAATTTTTTAAACCAATATCTACATTATTTAACATTTAGTTTATGTTTTAGCGCTACTTCCTGTTATATTTCTTTATACGTATATTTTACATTTTCTTGCACAGCAAGCTCAGCAGATTTGAAATTGTGTGCTTGTGTAAACACAAGTAGTCAATCTTTACTCTAAACATATATCCTGGTTATTTTTTAGGTAGACCTTCTTGTTTTTATATATTTGTATAGTCCCCCCTCCCCCCACCAAAAAAAACTGTAAACTGATTAGAAATATTAATCATCTGTCAGATTTCTGAGAAAAAAGTCAGAATTCTGAGATTAAAGTCAGAAATCTGGGAAAAAAAGTCAGAAAAAAAAGTCAGAATTCTGAGATTAAAGTCAGAATTCTGAGAAAAGTCAGAATTCTGACTTTTCCCCCAATGTTAAACTAAAAAAACATTTAAAAATCAGTTAACGTTTTTCAGTGGCCCTAATCCTCTTCCTACAAGACTAAGATGCCTAAACCAAAAAGATTCAGTTTCTATATATGAAAGTGAACTGACAACAAGACGTTATAAATAAGCAATATTCATAGCAGCATTCCCGACAGACCATTTTACCTCATTAACAAGTTTCTGACTTCCTGTATCGCTGTTTCCCTCTGAGTGCTCAAACACTCAACAGTTCACAGAGGGGAGGGGGAGTACAGTGACGTAACGCTATGCTGCGCCTTCAAAATAAAAGCACGATAGTTAAAAAATTGTCAAAATCTAATATTTTGCGGTACAATTTTTGGGGGGGACATATCCACCTGGCTTTTATATTGGGGGGGACATGTCCCCCCCGTCCCCCCCGCTTCCTACGCCGCTGCTCCCAGCACACCGTGGTTTCATTTATTTCTCCCTTACTCCTATCCTATTCCATTCTACACACTTTCAAAAAATTATTAAAAATAAAACTCTTTAGAGCCTGAAAAAAAAACTGAACTTCTGAGAAGACTAAAAAATCTCCTTTGGAGCTATAAAAGGCTGTATGGTAAAGGTTGACCCTCTTGCAAGCATTCTACTGTAGCGCATCCAGTCCCAAAGCTAAGTCTAAAATTGACATTTCTAGGTGCTGATAACTAGAAAGAGGTATTTCTTGTTGACAAGAACAAATTCTTGTCCTTTGTACACAGAGGTTGATAAATTTTTCTTGCATGGCCCCCCTTCGCTTCAAAACAATGTTTTCATGTCTCCCCCCACCATCACCACCACCCCAAAATAATTTTCAGCCGTTCAGCAAAGTAAAATGCTGTAGATTACATTTTGCAATACAAATTAACTCCAAAAACTTTCTGTAACATATAAAAACTTTCTGTAACATATATATATATATATATATATATATATAAATGAACTGAATTGTGTTAAAATGCTCAAGGAAATATATCATCATTCTTAAATAATTATCATTTCCTTTCTATTTTAGGAACTGATAACGTATCGTAAATATGCAATAAACCCTTTATATACCTGGTCAGTAGTTTTTTTTAAACCATTGATAAAAGCAGCTTCTGGTTTCAGTTAAGAAGGGCTAAAGGTCTTTATGTAGTATAATAATCAGTCAGAATGATAAGCAACATGGTGATCAACGCTGCAACAAAACCACTGATGGAACCAGTTCCAAGTTATCTCAAACTGATCTGGACAACATGGATGAAAAAGTTAAAATTATCTTTTAAATATCTTTTTTTTTTTTTTTTACATCAAAGGATCTTAACTTCGAGCATGTTTCCTAGTAATTTCCAACGATAATGAGATTCTGGCTTGAGTTTCAAAAAGCTTTATCCAAAATCCTACATGTTACCACCATACTATTACATTTTTCTTCTATCTTCTTGGGAAATCTGAATAATCTCAATAGCTCCCAAAATAAAGAGCTTTTAACAATTTTACCAACAGCAGCAGCCAGGAAGGGGATCGCAAAGCTTAGTAAACTGAGCCCTAAAGCAAAGCTTACAAACTCCTTATCTAACTTATGAAAAATATGTTATCTTAAAATGACTGAAACCTAAAGCCAAATGTAATTTAAAAAAAAAAAAAAAAATTTTTAAGTAAACTGTAAAGGCGAAATAATTGGTCCAAGGGATGAATCTGTTACATTCTCTTATGTCTGCCCATATCATAAGAACTTGATTTAGTATTACACTGTAAAAACATGATTAATAAAAGTAAGAATATCCTAAAATAAGTGAATTTACTCTAAATGTAGATGTTATTATTATTATCTGCAAAAGGAATAGTTTTTTGTTTTTTTACTTTAGTCACCACATTGGCAAATTATATAATTTACATACTCAAATATAAGGAAAATACACTTATTTCAAGAAAACATGTCCTATATTTACATTTTTGAGTTGTAGGCTTTCAGTACAGGGATCATAACACATTTGCAGTTAACTGTGAAAAATTCCTGTTTATCAGTAACAAAAAACAAAAAAAGATTGTGGCTGATTGCAGGTTGAAAACAGAGCGGGAATCTGCCGTCCTGTAAATGAGATCAGCCAAACATTCAGCAGATTTAATACACTTTGACTTCTCAAACGCATGAGGACTGGGGCTTCTTTAAATCAACTTTATATCTTTGTTTAAAACACACCTCTCTTAAAACAAGCAAAAACACCCATATAAATTATATTTAATGTGAATTAGAGAACTCCTGTTGATTTGCAGTAAACCAACCTTAGTGTTTTCTTCCAACAGTTCAAAGTAAGCGCCCTTCTCACTGATCACCTGGGAATCCAAAAGAAGTCTGTGTTTCAGGTTGGGACCCTGCGTCTGTCGCCTCAAGAGTGAATAACAAATCATCAATTAATTAATTAACAATTATTAACACATGTATCTATGTGATATCAGTTAAAAATCATGATAAGCTATCTAAATAGACAGATCACATTAAATAAACACTAAATGTAATCATTTACAATTCCCAAATAATAACAATAATAATAATTTGGTTTAACATACCTGTAAAAAGCAACATTCTCACTTTTTTTGAACTTTTCCTTCCCCTCATCCCCAGGGATAACACTGACACCCAGGTGAAAAAGAAATAATGAATATACAGTTAATCAAAATCTTACCAATAAATTAGGGAAATTTAAACCTTGAAATAATTACTTATGTATTATCTAAAATATAATTCACTGATTTAAACTTTCAAACCAAAGGAAAATATTAAAAAGTTTAATCTGGAACTTTTCTCCTTCGCTCGCATACAGGATATACGAATGTCAAACTTGTCGCTGCAGGGCAGATATAGCCTAAAAACAAAATACTCATTAATACCTAACGATAGGTTCGCTCTTTCCCGCCATTTTAAAACAAACTCGGGCAGAAACCGCAGCGGTTCACAATCCTCCTGGCTTCTTTAGTGGAAAAACGTTGACTGATTTTCCTGAACCTGACTTCAACGGTTTTGTTTGACAGCTGCTGTGTGTGAGCAGCAGGAGGAAGTACGTCAATTCCGCAATAAACGATTGGAAGTACGGTGAGGATTTTCAAAATAAAACACCCCCCGTGTCAATGGATCGTGTCCGCCATATTGCGAGTGGCAGACCTCTTGTCCTTTTAAAGACATTTTATTGGCGGTTGGGAAATAGCGAAATATAGTGCATTACTGTCAGTGTGGATAGAAATTACTACTTATTTCTTACTAATGCAAACCAAATCAACAAAATAAAACAAACTGAACAAAATCAACACTACAAAAAGACTCCAAACTATCTCAATTACATTAATAGTTCTAAGAAAGTAAAAAATAATTCCATAAAACTAATGTTTTGAGTTCATTCTAATAATGTCTATTCAATCAAAAATATATTCTTTTCATTCTAATTTTAAGTACCATCCCGTCTTCATACGTCTTATCATGTATTATGACATGATTTAATGTCTCTTATTAATTAAATTCAATTCCGTTTATTTATATAGCGCGATGTCACAACACACATCATCTCAAGGCACTTTACAGTTCAGCAGATACAGTCAAATTGATTAAAAGTTTTCTGTCTAAGGAAAACCAGTTGATTGCATTGACCCATTGACTGGGATGCAATCCCTCACACTAAGCATGCTTGTAGCGGCAGTGGAGAGGAAAAACTCCCTTTTCACAGGAGGAAACCTCCAGCAGAACCCGGCTCAGTGTGAGTGGCCATCTGCAGAGGCTAACTGGGGTTCAAGGAGACAGAAGCACAGATACAAAAAGCAACTGTATAAGGCGGCCCCGTCCAGGAAACACACAGCCAGGTAGACGAGCTCAGAGGATGAAGAGAGCATATCCAGCCAGTCACAGTCAGAGGAACAGGACTACACTGGAAAAACACACCTTTAAATAAAATCCAGTTTAATCCTGAGTGTCCAAATCTGAGTCCTGATTTAATCGCCTTTTCTCTTCTGTTTCTTCCTGCCCTTCTCAGTTCCCTCACTATCCTTTGAATTTTGTAAAACCACCATATGTATGGGTTGCTGTTTGTGATAAACATCTTGAAATGTACTGTATAAATAAAGTTAATTAAGGCCTACGTAATTATGTATTACAAAATGTTTTGTTCGGATTTAGGAATATGTTTATGATACTACAAATATTTATATTTGAATAGCTCTCACTTGTGAAACATTCTGAATATTTTGAAGTTACCCAGCTTATTAAAAAAATTCAGCTTTAAAAATAGAAATCCCGACTGAATAGAGCAGGAATGTGTAAGAAATAAGCAATTAAATTAACATCCACAAATTGAGCTAGAATTCATACTATAAAATTAAAGTTTTAATGATTGCCATCATGCAAAAGTACCTTTTTCATTCTTTTGTTCTTTAAACATATTTTTTTCCCTGATCTCTGTCTCCCTCTGGTGACGATTGTGTGAGTTGCAGTGCCGGACCTGGAGGCGGATACCAGTCCACCTGACCCTGTGGTGGATTCCTAAATGAAGATGCTGGATGCCCAGTCTCGTCGCTTGTATTTGCTACTTTTAGCGTTCGGGTTTCACCTCGGAGGAGCGGCAGAGGTGTCAGTATGGAGCGTAAATATAAACTCGGTCAGTGTTTTTCCTTTTATACAGAGAATAGCCCATACTGTTGCTAAGCAGCTGGCAGCTAACAGCGACTAGCAAAGCTTCTTCTTCCTTCATGCTCCATCTGTTAGGAAGGCTAATGATAAATTACTGCTTTATTTTGCTCTTCATTCGCTTTATACCGCGACTTTTGTATCTATAATAAACTAAAAACGGGTTGTCATAGCTTTAAATATGATATTGCGCTTTTAATGCTGATCTTGAGCCAAAAATAATGTTAAAGAGCGAAATAAAATCTAGTTATTTCGTAACTAAAATACATTTTTTTTTTTTTATCTGGACGGAGAATTAAAATATCTGAGTAAAAAGTCAGTAAATATAGTATTGACTGAATGTTTCACATCTGTATGATTTTCTTTTATCTCTATTTGCCTCAGTGTCTTATCATCTGATAAGAGTGGACATATGGAATCAATATATTATAATATTTTGTTGTATTTATATCAAAATACATCCAAATTGATTGTAGTATTTGCTCATAAATTTCTCAATTAATAGCTGGAGCCCTAAAAATATAAGAATTAAAACTTTTCTCCCCATCTACTCATCTCAATTGATTAGTTGTTGTTTTTTAGTTTATTTTTCATTTTATTTGCAGGTTGGCCTTAAAGGAAACCTTTTTCATGCTATTATATTGAGGGATGTCCTGAAACAAATGTTTAATTTCCTTTATGATTCAGCTTTCCTCTTTCAACCAAGGTTAATCTAGAGTTGATTGATACTATCGATCAACTACTGATTATTTTGATAATCTTTCATAGCAGGAAGTACAGATAAAAATAGTAAACATAATAAATTATTAATTTATTGTGCCACCTGTTGTTATTATTATTATTGTTATTATTTGATTTCCTTTTAGAGTTAAAAAAGACTTTTCTAATTGATTTGAACAGCTGTTAAAACTGACAGGAAGAAAAACAAAAACATATATTGTTGCACATTATTTATTTTCTTTAAAAGATATAATAAAACATATCCAAACAAGAACCTAGTAGTTTAATGAATACAAAATAAGATTAATACTGTGAATATTTGATAGAAAATATAGAAGTTTTATAGGAAGGTTACTCAACTTTAAGTTCATATGTAAGTGCAATTAAAGGGAGAAGGGGTATGAAAAATAAGTTTTATTTCTTCATACCCCTTTTCAGACAGTTTACATGAATCGATCTCACTTCTCTGGCTGTATATACCGACAGGTTTATTTGATGGAAAATTTTGTTACTATTTATGTTCAGGTGAATTTAGTTAGTTTAGAAATTGGTGTTTGGTTGATGTTAACCAGTCTCTTTTGTCTGTATTTGGTTGATACACCAAATTCTCATTAATTAATTAATTCATTCATTCATTCAAAGCAGGATTCACTTATTCCATCCAAAGATCAGAAATGTAACTATCATTAAAATTCAGGGTATGCCATTCTGATACGCTGTCAAACTATTTGCCGTTTGGTTTCCAAGAAGTCGATGCTAACTGTAATGTATCGCTCTGTTTTTAAGCGTAATCCAACAATCTAGTGCTGCTAGTGTGGCTTTTAAACCAGTTGTTCTGTTTGCTCTCAGAGAAATGTTCAAACTTAAAGCCCGTCTACTAATGCGGCACCCTCTAGCCGATGGTGGCGACACTACAACACTGAAAGAAATTCCTTATCAATTAATTGGATACAATAAATTTTAATGTAATAAACCAATAATCAACACTAAATGGTAAGTCGATTGTTTCTTTACATTCTTGGTATTGACGGATAACCAATACCTGATCAGCAGGAATTATACATTCTCTCCTTGTTTTTTAATGTGGAATTTTACTGAACCAGAGAAAAATGGTACTAAACATTTTTTACAAGAACAGCCTACCTGTTTTATTATTAACCAATTGGTGACATAAATTATAAAGATGTGCTTCTAACCTGCTGCTTTTATTGGAGATTTTAAATGCCGGTTGAAATATTTTGATGCACATTTATGTCTGATATCAAACAGATTTTCAATATCTGACCATGATTGTTTAATGAATTTCTACTCTAGTGGCTGTTTGGTTTCATGCAAAGGCTTTCAGATTAAATCAAGACGCTTTTTTGGCTTTTTATATTTAAATTTCTGTGGTTTACTCTTTTTGTTTCTTGCTCCATTTGGTTGTAAACTTAATAGTTTTGATAAAATACAGAGTTTGCCAAAATTATTGGATGCCAAGAGGAATAGGACAGGACGAATGCCTGGAATTAAATGCAAACTTTGGAGTTTATTGAAGCTGAAACCAAAGCTGCTGAAGCCTGCAAGTTGATGGGTGCGATTTTAATCTATGCCAGCAGATAGCGGTAGAGAAATATATATTTTTGGGTTAGAAAAGACTAAGTAAACACTATCAGGGGGAGCTATGGATGTATACTGCTTTACTTTTAAATTAACAAATGATTTTTGTTCATTTAAAAAAAAAGGCATATTAGGTGACTGAGTCCCTTTGAAACAAGTTAATCTGTAGATTAATCTGCAGTAAAATTGTCAACATTTGAAATTTGTGCTTTGAAAGTAAAAAAAATAAAACTTATTACAGTGAACTAGTCTGTATTTTTTTATATAAAACATTACAGGGCAGCGTATTTTACCATAACGTTATGTTTAAAAAAAGTTACAGTTATGCTAAAAATCAGGCTCTCTTTGAAGTTGCACTAAAATAGATCCTTCCTGCATTTAAGTCATACTCAGCCTCATCCACTGTGTGCCCCTGTTAACTGTCTTTGAGTTAAATTAGGTAACGTAAGATACAATTTTGTTTTAGTTATGGTTAAATTATGTTTGCATATTGGAATTTTTAAAAATAAAGTTTACCTATAATAATGCTAGGTATGTGACACGTCTCCTCCTCTCAGTATCAGTAACGTTTACCATGTGTTTTCAGACAAAGTATGCCGTGTTTCGGAAGACGCTGTACGCCAACACCACCATCTTTATGAGGTGTAAGTAGCGTTGGGTTTTTCTCTGGGCTGAATTGGACTCTTTGGATCCTGGTTGCTTTTGTTTTGCCTCCTGATAATATATTGTGTGAAAGTTGTTTTATTCTGGGATGGTTTCCTTCCTCTCCGCAGTTCTAAATGACACAGGCTCATGTGACCGAAATCTGGCGTTTAACATCAGCTGGTACCTACGCTCGTCCGTTTGCTATAATGAGGTCTTTAACACACCGGTGAGTGAGACTACTGTCTTAAATCTGGAACTTCGCCTGTTTATTGAATCATATTTTGATGCTTTTTACTCTTGTTTTTCTCTTTGTTTTCCTTTAAAAGGACAACAAAGCGATGAACATGATCGGCATGGACCACATGCTGAAGGATGGCTGGAGTGGCTTCTACAGCCAGGGCTACATGTACTTTGAGAACTGC